TTGATTTTACCCTGTTCAACCATTCTGATGTTTTTCGCTCCTTACACAACACAGACCATTTATGTAAATGAGACAAAAACATTAATAAAAATAAATTAATTAATTGGAAATGTCAGAACTGAACAGAGACAGTGTTAAGTTTCAGAAAGTCAGCAAAACTGCACCAGGACACTATGCAGCCATGGGCACATGGGCAGAAAGGAGATCGCTGTCTTCAAGGTAATCAGTGTTATATACTCATTCCCTCCATTTTAATTTAAACCACAAAACAGTGCGACTGTTCCATCAGACAGCTGTAAATTCAATATTCTCCCAGCAGCGTGTTCTGCAGCCCAGCCAGCTAGCTGGGAGCTCACAGCCTCCCCCTCCAGCCCTCCAGTTCATTTACCTTCAGAAGGGCCACGTTTCCCTGTAGCTCAATCTTACGTCTTTAAATTAAAACCAAAACACAACAAACAAAAAACTCCACATTTATTATAGTAACAGAAGTGTTGTGAGAATTAGTTAAACCTAACCTAAATCCATATGTCCATATCATGTTGAAATATATGGAAAGTCAGGTGAAGTGGGTTTGGGTAAGGAACATCATGTAAAAGACTTTTTCTAGCTAGTGGGCTTATCAGAAGCACAAGGAATACAAATAAAACATGGTGATGGATTTGTGGGCTTTGGATATGGCCTCTACAAGTGTTCTGTTGCTTGGTGTTGTATTATTTTGTCCCCAAAAAGACTAGTGAGCCCCAACTGAGTTTATAACTATCACAAGAACTGAACAAACAGCCACAAGAAAAAAACATACCTCTTTCAATTTAAGCATTTAAATCCCAATCAGCTATCTTTTCAGAAAGAAAAAAAAAAAAAAAAAAAAGATTTGGATCAACCACTAGTTGCTGACTCAGTATAAAAATTACTGTATACATTTTCTTTGCTTATATTCTTATTTTATTCCATTTTACTCTTATTTTACATAGTATAGCCATACTTATTTTATATAGTCGTTCTTATTTTATATAGTTTAGTCATACAGTATGTTGCTTATGCCCCTGAAGTCAAATTTACTCTTCTTCAAAAAGTGGTAACATCTTCAAAACCTTACCGTCTAAGAAGTATGTTCACTTCTTAGTCTAAGATCAGGGTTGGGGTGGAAACAGGGGCAACAGGGAGGGTCTTTTCTTCACTGGATGGCAGTAAATCGAAGTAAGTGTAATTCAGACAAAAATACAGAAGTACATAATAACCTTTTAGTACTAAAAAAAAATACTATGCTAAAACAAAATTTTTAATTAGTTGCTTTATGTTATGATGTCAAGCTGTCTCCTTTAGCTTCATAGTGTGAATGTTTATTTGGCTTATTCTAAACCAAGGTGTCAGTAGAAATAGGATAATAAATATCAGAAATATAGGATAGGAGGAATAGGATAATAATATCAGTAGGAATAGGATAATAATATCAGAAACTACAGAAAAATTTAACATATACCCTTAAGTGTACATAGGTTCATTAAAATATATCTCAACTGCATTCTTGCCCTGTATTTTTTTCTTGCTATTTTGAGTAACATACTTAAATAAATGGGGCATCAGAATGTTTGTAAATTCAGGTTACTCCTGTATCATCTCCTTCCTTTATGCCAGTTATAATTTTAACAATTGATACAATAACAATTAAAAAAGGTAATATGTATGAAACTAAAACAAATGCATTCCTAAAAAAAGCTTATATTAATAACAAATTTGGTGTTTAAACTTGCTTTGTATTTGGTTTCTGAGACTGTTACTGTTACCAACAGAAGTATTAACCAGAAATATCAACTACAAATGTTTATTGGAGAATATACTTTGAAAGTAAATATTGATCTGCTCTACTAATCACATCACAAATGAAAAACCGTATCATGTAATCTGTTTTCAATCAAAACTAATAAAGACATAAAATCTCATAGAAATTTAATATCACATTCGTGCACACCTGATACGCAAGAAATACACAGCAAATACTTTCAATAGATTAATACGCGTATTTGTAGCTATTTAAATCAAAGTAGCAGCTAACTTCACCAAATAAATTATTTGCATTGAATTATGTTTTTAGATCTACTCTCAAAACACAGAGGTAGCTTTGTCACATCCTACTGAAGGATGCCTGTCTATTTATACCGAAGAAAACTATCCTGGAGTTTATTTTCTAAGGCTTTAATTTTAAGGTAAGGCTTAAGTTTAAAAGCACAGTGCATTTTCCCCAAAACTTATAATCTCAAAATATCTCTTAAAAAAATTGTTGTTTTCTTTTATCCTCCAATTCTCCTTCCCAATCTCCTTCAGGACTTAAATCCACATGAAACTCAATTTAAAGAAAACTGGAAGAAAGCATTCACTTCAGGACATGGTACTGTAAGTATTGGTTGGTGACAATTCCCATTACCTTGTTATTCACAGATAGAACTACATTCTCCCCAAAATAAAGCAGTGACAAACAACAGATAACTCAGCTAAAGAAATCAAGTTAAGCAGGTGAAATGTATCACATGGAACCTTGAAAATATGTGAAGAATTCTTCCATGCCTTTAAAAAGGAGCAAAGAGTAACACATCTTTGTAATAGGTTTCTTACTGCTGCAGTGCAGGAAGTAATTTATTAGGCACCCTGGACTTCTTTAGTTGCACAAAGGTTTTTGAGAACTCTTGCAGGGGCCAGAGTCTCTGAGCACACTCAGAAGAGTAAGCAAGAAATCCAATAGCACAGACTGTACAGGAAAAAGAAGCCGCTGTCCGTTTCCTATTAGGGAGCAGCATGTGGCCCATAGTCTCAAAGTATGACAGGCAGCAGGACTCTAGCTCGTCCACTCTATCAATGTGCTAATATACTTCTGTATTTTAATGGATTTTCTTTTTTGTCCGTTACTATTGTATATGTTTCTGTTAGTATATGTTAAAATAGAAATGAAATGGAAAGTATAAAGTAGACCTCAATTTAAATTACATATAAAAATCCATCACACTGACATTGCCCCATTATGCAGAGGCAACCCTGTGCATTAACATTCATGAAAACAGAGTTCATGAGTCACCTCGGGGCTTATGCTCCCCATATAGGTAGAGACTGAGCCCGCTGTGGCAATAATACCCTTGGTACCAAGATGGAGCATGCCATCTGCACTGCAAAAAGGGTTCTGGCAGCTAGCAAATTACCAGGGAGGCATTAGCTGTAGCCCAGAAGGGTCAAAGTTGTGATGGTAGCAATAATGGCTGTAAAAGCATCTTTAAGCCCATCAGAGGAGCACCAGAAGCACAAGCTACTGTTTAGGGTAGAAAAAAAAGTAAATTGCAAAAACAGAATTAAAATCGGAATATGATCTTATGGCTTTTGTATTACTATTTTCAAATTAAGCAATAAAAAGGAGTGTGAATTATTCCATTAATTCATATGCAGTATTTTCATTCTCATGTAGACAACACAACAAGGGGAGAATTAATGTTACTTTGTTCTGACAATACTGTGATTATGAAATGCTAATTTTTAAAAATATTTATATTGCTAATTAAGAAAGAAGGTCGGAAGTTCTGAGCTCAAGCTGCAATCAGCACAGTTCGCTGCTCTGAATTTTACAAGTTTTGAGCTGTGAATTGTGCTGATTGCAGGCACTGCTCTGGATTCTTATTAGCCAGTCAAACCATCCAATTTGTTGCCCAATTTATAATATATTATATTGTATTATGGTGATGCAAACATTAATACCATGAAGTACAACAACCACTGTGATGCAAACATTAATACCATGAAGTACAACAATAAAACTCGTTCTGTATCAGCATAAAAAGTACACACAGATTTTAGAAATAAAAAAATAACAAAGGCAATAGAACCATGAACACTTCGTCATGCTGACACAAGAAGAAAACTGAGCTAATTGTATAGAAAAGAAACCGAGGAAGCAAAATAAAGTGGGGGGAAAAAAAAAAATCACATAAAATCCAGAAAAGAGAAGGCTATGAAACCGTATGCCTATGTCTGCATACTCCTGTACAGTCTGAAGTTAGAAAAGAACTTGGCCATATACAACAAAAGTAAGAGAATCACAGGACAGAAAATAATAACAACAAATGAAATGGCAAGAGTTAATGTTCTAAAACATTTGCATTAAAGCATCATCTGGAGGCAACTGACAGAAAAAAAAAAAAAAAAAAAGACTGGAAGTGGGAATAAAATCATGCAAACACACTATGAAAGAAAAAAGTCCTGGCTCACGGTATGAGATTTTAGTTGCATAATTCTCAATTTTAACTGCATCATAGGAACAATTGCTTATGTACTTTGATACAATTTATCGTTAATTACTGGGCTACCTTTTGTGGTTAGCTAGTATGGGCAGGGTAAGATTTTTCAGAAAGGAATTATTCTGTAACTACGACAAATGTTACAAATTTTGAAAGACTTCAATAAAAAGTTGTGTGTACCCCTACAAATGTAAAATTTCATTTCTTCCTCTAATAACGGCAGACCGACAAACATTCAAAGGACCCAAATAGCCTGTACAAGGAGATCTGGCAGCCCTTGAGCATCTTGGTTACAGAGTTATCACAGGCAGATGTGGAGAAGGAAAGCCCTTCCCCTGATTGCATGGTTTGTGCAATCCACTTGAGGATTTGACCAATAATCTGTAAATCAATAACTTATTTCTCACATACACCTCCAGCCAGCATATGAAAAAGACAAGTGTAGACTCTCAGCTAGTTCTAGTTACACTGTCATATTCTGTAATATTATGTTACTTCAGGATTATAAAATGTTTCATAAATAAAAGACTCAAATTTTAACACTGAGCTGTAGGTTTTACTTTCTTTTGCATAGAAATTTGTAATGTTTACATACAAGCAATTAGAGAATTTGGTCTCTTACTAGGCTTTGGCACAAAGGTTTACTTTTTATTTCAAAGCAAAATTGTAAGTGCTTGTATTATAAATGGCTCTGTACATTTTATATTACTTTTACAATCTACTTACAGCATGTACATAATGACACCTGTGCTCTAAACGTCACACTGTTGACTGTAGTCCTGGGCACTGATAACTTCAAGGGCTGCCAACCAAGCAGAAAAAATAATATTAATAATACAAAAAAAAACTTTTAAATGCTTAAACACAAAGAATGAAGAATGTGCTGATGTGGTATAATTTATTCCCATATGTAAAGAGGAACCAACAGCAGATGTTTAAATGAATAATGTACAGACCTGAACAATTCATGCTGATGTGTCCTCACTTTTATCATTTAGCTGTTAAGGAGGTGGTGACATTGTGACATTAGCTGTATGATTAAACTTAGCATTGTTTTTCCCCGCAGTAAGTTATTAAAGGGGCATTCTTAAAATGCTGACTTAAGTACTGCAAGATACCATACGAACTTTTTCTTCTCCCAGAAGTAAGAGTAGAACAAAAGAACACAGGGTTTTTGCAAGACAGAACAGCCTCTGTTTGCACATTGGCTAGAATACATCATACAATAAACAAAATCAATGCCAAAATACTCTAAAAATATTCAAATGGATCTATATCCTAGATTAAAAATTCACTAATTATAGTCTATTCACTAATCACTTAATTTTGTTTCAGCTACTCAAAAAGATGCTGCTTTGGGGCCATATTTTTATCTGTTACGTCATGGGAGATGTGGTCAGGAGTTCAAAGCAAGAACGATGGTCTTCAATTCCAGAATCACTGGAGATGATATATTTAGCCCTATGAAGGAAGAGAAAATAAAACCTTCATGCAACAGAAGAGCAGATGGCAGAGACTATTTTATTTGGTGCTATCCCACCACACCAAAAAGCTAGGTTAATTGTCATTTCAGTTTTTCATGATTTAGGTAGATACCAAGCTTTAGATACCTACTTCTTATATTAAAGAATTAAAAATAGGTTAACTGAATGATTTGATAATACCACAGCTGGTAAAACAAGACTTTAAAAGAAATTTTTACCATTAATACTTCCAAACTGGCCAAAACCTACTTACCCAAATATCATCTTATTTGCAATTGAGTGTTTTGAAAATATTTTAAACCAACAGTACTTCACATTATTAACATCACAGGAAAATTTACAAGTGTTTAAGTTTATACCCATATATATAGATAACATATCCAAAATAAAATGACCGAACTGGGGAACTGCTATGACTTACCATTAATAAACCAGTCTGGTTAAACCATGTATTTCCACAAGTCTCAATCACAAGGATGGAGCATACAAGAAATACAAACAAGAACAACAGGGAAATAAAGACAGCAGGGCAAAATCAGAAAGTAAAAATGAGGAGCAACTGGCAAGGAATATAGCTGAAAACTGAAACAATCTCTTAACTATGTGAGTAGTAGGAAGACAATGAATAAAGGGGCTGCTATTGTATTCAACCCAGAATGCTACTGATAGATGATGCTCAGAAGGCAAATGTATTTAATGTCTTTTAACATCAATCTTGACCAAAATGTCAACTGCAAGCAGGGGATAGCACAATCAATATCAGTGACAAAGGGGCAAGACCTCAGTCTTTTACAGAGAAGCAAAAGGTTACCAAGTACTTTGGTTGGAAATTTTAAAATCAGCTGCAAACGATAAAATTCATTCCAGAGTACTATAAAAACTGACAAGACTTTTCAAAGCTATTAGTGTTTCAAGAACTTTGCAGAAGGCGGGTGAAGTGCTTGAAAACTGAAAAAGGTAATCATGGTATCTGTCTGTAACAAGGTGGAAATGCTGGCATCAAAGAATTACAGATGCATCCCATTAGTTTTAATTCCCAGGAAAATACTGGAAATAATAAGCATCTAGAAGAAAACAAAGAGATAAGTAAGCCATTATGCACTTGTCAGCAACAAATCTCCTTATAGCACAAGTTGACAGGCTTCAGGGTTAGAGGAGGATCACTGAGTATCATCATCTCTCTTGCTTTTAGTAGGGCTTTTGATACCATTTCATGCAACTTTTTTCATTTTTTCATACTGCTTGCATGAAAATATCACAGCAATAATGCATACATGCTTGTAAAAGTGTTTCTCAGTAGCTGTTATTTGTTCATTGTCAAAGTGGAAGGCTGCATCAAAGGCATGTTTTGTAGGTGTCTGTCCTAGACAAGATACCTTCGTAACTGATGACCTGGAAGATCCAAGAGAGAACAAGCTTATTAAATCTGAAGACAACATCAAGCCATGAATGACTGTAAGTATATTGAAAGACAAGCTCAGAATGCAAATACATGGAGAGCAGTTGGTTAGGCGACAGTTCCAGGACTGTAGTGAATCACAAGCTGAGGAGGAGTTAACAGTTCTGGGCTAACCTGAGAAGGGCTCTGTGAGGCAGGTTTGGTGTAGAACAGCCACTCTGGTAGAAGCCCTCTTTCCATACACCTGTCCTTACTGAGGGAGACGAAGACCAACACTCCTCCCTCTCTTCTGTCTTAGAAGTTTATTTAAACATGCTGGATGAAAAATAGGCCAGATTGCAAAAAGACAGTCATCACCTGTGTTTTGTACACAAGCAAAAGGCCTGCATTACATCCAAAACAGTCCTTCCACTCAGCCCAGCACTGGCGAGGCTTCAAACAGATGTGCTCAACTTTGGACACCCCTTTTTAACATAATAGCTACCAAATGGAGCATGGCAGGTAAATCACAAAGATCAGAAACGCAGGACAGGACTAAGAAAATTCAAGGTTTTCAGTCTAAAGAACGTCAGATGGAGGGAGAAGGGTAATAGCAGATTGCTGAAAGAAAGAAGGTGGCTACCTGTTCTTCATATCCATGATGGATAGGGTGAGAAATAATAGTCTAAAAATACAAAGTGCTGTTCCACCCTTTTCCTCGGCCCCGCTCACAGGCTCCCACCACCTCCCTTAGGTCAGCTCTAGCAATTATGTGGCTGCAGGTGAGTCAACTGAAAACTTATAATGAAAAAAGTGATTAGATCGTGGCCTGTAGGTGTAAGTTTAAGCTGACTGTCAAACTGAAGGTTCAGGGCAGACAGGAGGAAAAATTTCTAGGAGGATAATGAAGCATCAGAATTGACCGCCTGGGAAGATTAGGGAGTCTCTATTACTGGAGGTCTTAAAGTACACTTTACACAAATATTCATCAGAAATGTCTCAAGTATAGCTGCTTCTTTCTTTGGACAGAGAAATAAATCAAGTGACTCAAGGTCCCTTCCAGTGTTGAGACTCTATGTTTCTGTCATGATTAGTAAATCGGAAAGTAATTTCATCCCATGCAACCCACTCACTTAAAGAAGTATTTAACACTGCTAGTATTTCATCAATCAAAATGTCAGGAGGACTAATTATCTTCTGCCAAAGAAGATTTCTTTCTTGCTTCAGTCTGTTCTAAGCAAGCTGTGAAATGCATTGCTGGTATATACCATGGAGGAAAAAAAACTTCATAGAATTAAAAAAATATATCAGATAATGGAGTGAAATGTATTATAGTGTGCAGTTTAGATCAGAGAGGGGTAAAAGCTTTATATTATTGAATACAAAGCATTCATGGTTTAAGTAGAAAAAAAAACCCACACCTGAAAAACATGCCTTTTGGATGGGTTATATACATCCCAACTACCTTCTATAATGTCTTTTTCAACACTTGTTTGAACATCAGATAATAATCAGTGTCATATACTAGAAGAGACGGCATTTATATGGAAACTTTCTAAGAAAAAAACTGTTTTGTAATTTAATCTAATTGTTTAGATGGACGTTCCTGAAAGTTTCTGCAGCACGTCAGAAGTTACAAATCAACTTTATGTAAGCAGGGATGGCTCAGGTAGCACTGTCGGCTTCAAAACCAGGCAGCAATAGAGGAGAAGTTGACCTTATAACAAAGGAATGTGTTACCTGCACCAAACTTAACTTTGCAATATTGTAAGGTAGACTACGGCAGTTTGAAGACAACAACATGTAGAATGAAAATGCAAAGTGACAGTTGCTTGCATAGAGGTCATGATAAAGCTCATGAGATAATAAGTTAGTTGTGCATATCACCTAAGAGATTGCAATGAACACCTGATAGGTTAAAGGAGCAGAGAAGAAAAGGGCAAAGAAAAACAGAAGGGAAAAAAAAAAAAAAAAGAACAGAAAAGAAGCACCTTACATCATCATCAATGAACAGTACAGCATCACCAATACAGGTCCTCATTGTAGGGACCTGCTCATTTATTTCCTTTTTGAACCAGACAGTGAGTGGAGCAAGTATCACCTCCATTGGCTGAGCCAAGTGGCGAGTGGCAGCAGTCCTCAGCTGTTTTGCAACAGTTGTACCTCTTTTTCCTGCATGGAGTTCTTCTATCTTCCCTTTGCAGAAGGAAACATGAAATGAATTAGCTACCTTCTGTTAAAAATGTCTCTTCAGATCTCTGATTACCTCTGGCTACCAGTGGTATCTCTGCAAAAATCACGTGCACTTGTTTTGAGATTCTTTGGTCAATAATGTCTGCTGCCAAATTTATCTGGGCTTGAAGTATCCATGAACCTTCCAAGAGGGGATTAAAGAATAGGACAACCTTAAATACTATCAAAGTTCTTTATCAATTAAGACTTTCAGAGGTTTTGAACGTCCATAACAGCAAGAGAAGGAAGAAACATACCCCAGAGTTAATTTAAAATAAACTATTGCTTGTTCTCTTCAGAGCCCTATTTGTCTACATTCCAGTTCACTGAACTGATGGAGGAAGACAAAGAATGCTGCTGTTCTGCTCACCTACCAGACCCAAATTAGAGAATCACAACATCAAACAACAGTCCTGGTTGGAAGGGCCTGAAAGATCCTCAGGACCAACCTTTTTTCTCATGGAAAAAGGGAGTCTAGATGAGATCATTTAGCAACCTGTCCAACTGCGTCCTGAAAAGCTCCAGTGACTGGGATTCTGTCACATCTCTGGGGAGGTTGTTCCAGTGACCAGTTGTCCTCACTATAGAAAAATTCTCTCTTTATATCAAGATAAAACCTCTTGATGGTGCAACTTGCATCTATTATCCCTTGTCTTCTCCATGTGCCTCCCTGTGAAGAGTGCACCTCCATCCTCTGTGCCCACCCTTACAGTACTGGAATGCTGTAAAGATGTCCCACCTAACCTTCTCTAGATGTTACGAAGGAGTTAATTATGCTAGATCATAGAATGGCTTGGGTTGGTAGGGAACCTAAAGATCATCATGTTTACAACACCAACCACTTTGATTTGGTCAGCCACCTTACTTCGATACCTATCAATACTTGGTGCAACCTATGGCCTCTGGATCCTCAGAAGGTCTGATCTCTCTCAGACCACAGAGAGAGACAGACAGCACAAGCAATCTGTCAGGAATCCAGCAGTTGCACCATCCTGCAAACACAACGTTAACCTATGGAATTTACTGCTCAATAGAAGATACAGCTTCATAAAATGGACACGTCAGAAACAAATACTAACATTCACATTTATATAATGCAAACTACATACATCATGTAAATTCTTATAGTGGTGGACAATTTATCCCACCAAAGCTGCATAAGATTTGATGAACTCTGCTAAAAGGTTGTCATTCTTTACAGCTGAACCTTTCCCTGACACTGACACCTTGTGTCTCTGACACAATTGTATGGGATTAGAAATAGAGGCAATTTTAGCTCATATGACAATTCCTCTGAGAAAAGAAGGAGGAGGAGCTTAGAAATACAATGACTTTTTATGGACTGCAAGGAACAGAGCATGACTTAGCTCTTTTAGCTCTTAAGAAGAACGAAGCACTGAACTTAGCTATGTATATAGGAGTGCCACAGGCAGACTGAAACATGCTGTCAATACCACCAGCCTGCTGTACAGCTAAACCAAAGTCAGTCATCTAACAGAAAAAAAAATACAGTATTAAAACTAAAAATAAAGATGGGCTTTTTTTTTTTTTTTTTGGTCAATGATATAAGTTACTGTTTGTAGTGAAAATGCTGAAGTCAGAGAAAAATAAATACAAATGAAACTTTCATATAAGGATCTTCAGTCTCTTCTTCCCCTATTCGTCCAAGTTTGCACCAACCATCACTAATATTTATCCTGTAATTACTTTGCAGGACAATCTGCTCCACCAGCAAAGCTTTTTTTGTTGTTGTTGTTGTTTTGGTGTAACACTTTTTTCTTGACATTCAAGCTCACGTTGACTAGGAATCCTCCAAGGACACAAGACAAATCTGCTGACCACTTTGCATTCTCTGTGAACAAAGCAGGGCAGAAATCCCAACTACAGCAAACTGATGGTGGGGACATACATTGCTGTGGGCAAGGAGGGACAGAGACAGAACTTAGAAGATAAATAAAACCAAGTTGCTGATAAATCAGAGTGCTGCTTGTTAAGAACCTAAGTGAAAACCTGGACTGTCACATCAACATGAACAATTTCAAAACTTTGGACTACAGCATGCTCTTGGTGGATCCACTCCTCCTCACAACTGTCAGGACACACAGCAGCAGGAAAAACAAATGGCTGGAAACATGCCTCTATCATCTCTACCAGAATGAGATGATGCCTGGTGTGGCTGCAAACCCAGCTAAGCAGCATACCTTCCTCCTCTGCCTTCAGGGGCAGCTTTTCAGAGCCAGTCACTCAGTAAGTCAGCAGCTTTGGCCCAATGAAATCAACATCTCTATTATATTGTACAAATATATTTGTCCTTGTACATTAGACTTCCACTGGTTTCCACTGTCACTCAAGCTGGTCCTCAAGAAAAAGAAGATGAAAAATGATAATTTCACTTCCTGGAGGCAATTTTCTGTTTGTTGACCTGCTGGTCTGAATCAGAAAAAGTATAATACCAACTCCAACATTCACCCAAAAAGCAGTGGCTAGAAAATCTGAACTAGAAATTTTTGCTTTGGTTTGAGATTACCCCAAAAAATTCATGCTGTATGAAGCAGCTAGTGCGTGCAAATTAACTGAAGGGAAGGGCAGGGGAGAGACAGAATGAAAACTCATGTTTGGAAACTATAGCCTTTTCTTCTTGCCCAGTTACAATACCAGAATTAATTGGGACAGACATTTGTGTGTCCACCCTCTCCCAACTCTCATAAAAATCTTTCAAGGAAATTAGAAGCAAGATGTTTATACAGTGAGCAAAATTTTAATTACAAAGGGTTTTTTTGCTGCTCCTTTTCATTTTACCACGTCTTTTACTAATGTCTATGAGTGAGAAATGCTTTCTCAAGTTTATATTACAAAGGAATAATTCTATTGCATTCTGTCTCCACGTCCCTTTAAGCACCGTGTACTTTTAGATGAAAGTGAAATGAAACAGAGCCAAATTATGGTTGCCTCTAAAAGTTAACCACAAGGAGACAAAACTAAAAGTCTCTCTGTTTCAAACAACTGTCATGACATAAGCATTGAAACTCTGGGGCCAAGTAAAGATTATTTAAAATATTTTAGTCATGCTGTACACCATGATGAAGTAAGTGAGGTTTGGTCAAAAATGTAGTTTTTCTGCTTTCCAGGATATTAAAATTTAGCCACTGCACCCTTTTTGGCTATCAGGAAAAAAAAAAAAAAAAGTGGGGTGGGGATGTTGTAATAGCTCCTATTCTTTCGTACCTTTTTTTTTTTTTTTTCAATAAAAAAAGGTGCAAGCACGTGGTATGTTGTGCTTAGGTAGTAAATATTTATTAATATGCAAAAATTCCTGTAATATATTTGTATTTCAGTCAAGGGCACAATCTAAATACGCTTTTTTTCCTAACTTACTAACAGGCACATTAAATGACAATATTTGTAATTTAGGAATTAATTACATCTTACAGTGCCTACTGATTCCCTGTAACCAACAGCTTTGTACTATTCTGATGTAAATTGGGATGAATTAAGTATGATTACTTACAGGAGTAGGGTTTTGTTTTTTGTTTTGTTTTCTGTTTTTTTGTTGTTGTTGTTTTGTTTTTCTTCTGTTTTGTTTTTTAATTGAGCTAGAAATACACATCATTTTACAAAAAGAAAAAAAAAAAAAAAAAAAACACCTTTTTCAGCTGTGGCACTTTGCTTCCAAAATGTTTTTTTTTTCCCCCCCAAGAACACCATTTAGCAGCTCATTTCAAGAGCTTTTAATAGGTATCAAAGTCAAGTCTCCCAGTAATAACTGGATATTAAAACCGATCCTCTAAGCAGAACACCTACAATTGTCATCTTACCTTCATGTTTAATTTCATTTCATTTGCTTCATTGATGTCACTGCTTTTAACTAAAATGTTTTCCATTTTTAAATCTCTGTGAACAAGATCTGCCAAGAAAGAGTAAGAAATAAACTGTTACCAGTTGTAGAGAATATAGCCTGACAGAAATGTTTTAAACTTTTTTGATTTAGTAATTTCTTTAAGCAATTCCACTGCACTTTCTTTGGAACTACTGGAAGCCTAACCAAAATCTCTCCCACCACATGACTCCAGGGACTTATGTGAGCATTTCAAGTTCTCAAATCTCATTTCTACGCACAATCCTGTAAAGAGGGAGAAAGTTAATATTGTTTCAATTTTGAAATCAGTAAATTACTCAGTATAATTTAACAAACAAGCAGTATAATTATCAAATCTGCACATATTTTTTACCTTCAGTTAATTTGCATATTCAAAAACAATAGATTTTTTTTTCCCTTTCAATGACTACAGAGGAGAATAGACTGAGCTCCATTTCACAATCCTAAATACCTCTATGGGAAAAAAAGAAAAAAAGGTAAATAAAGGATTCCTATAAGTAGTTAGCTATCACAGAGCGATCAATAATTTCTGTACTAAAAAAAAAAAAAAAAAAAAAGTATTCGCAATCCTACCCTACCCGCCCGCCTATTCTAAATTTTTGGCTGGATAAGTTGCCTCTGTTGTAGACTATTGAGAATTTTAACATTTCCTTGTGGTGGATGAAAATGCTGATGCTTACCGAATCCCATACACAACACGTACCGTTAAGAAGTATCAGAACCATTCCAATTCTGCTTTTTCTCTTCCTGTAGTTAACTACTAAACTAAATATAATGCAAAGCAGTTGCAAGTTAAGAAATAATAATCCATGTTATTATTCACAGTTGGTACAGAAAGAAATAAGAGAATATGATAGCAGTTAATGCAGTTATAGGAAAAATAAAGCTCTAAAAAGAAGCATTCACATAGCCTATGTTACTTTTTCTTTACTGGACTATCTTTATGCTATGAAAAAAAAATAATAAATAAGAATAGCAATCAGTAGCTCTCGTTAAATGTATGAAGACTTGATATCAGTGAACATATGGGTGAGACAAAGGAATTTACTTTTTTTGTGGAGATACACTAGTGCTGAAGCAAGACTGACGTGCCTTGTCTCATTTTCTGTAAAATGTCCTTTACTACTAAGGGTTTTTTTTTTGTTTGTTTGTTTGTTTTAGTTCTCTGTACTCACACAGCTCCATTACAAGATACATCTGCTGATGTTAATAAAGAGGCAACATAATGGTTTTGTTATTTCTGAGTTTAGAGTTTCTTTTAATGTAACGACAATATACGTAACGGCAGTGCCCCAGTTGCATTGATGACACAAAAGCCCAACAGCATTTTATGAACACAAACAAAAGACAATTGACCTGCCCCAAATATTGCCAGTGTTTAGAGTACTACAATTCTTGAGCCTTCAAAACACATACTTTCACAAACATATTAAAATACTAAAATTACAAAATCTGGACTATGTATAGATTTAGCTTAAAGCCTCTTTCATTCAATGCATCATCAATGGTTTTTATAAAAAGCCTAAAAGAGTACCAACATTTGAAAAAATAAAAAATGCAACTTTTCAGCAATTAGGAATGAAAACTATAATACATTACACAAGCAAGACATCTAACCAAGTCAGTGCCCAAAGAAAAAAACATATGCTTACAGCTAATAGCAAATATCAGGTTCCATGTGTTAATTCAGTACTTATAATATATTCTGTCATTATAATGTCCTGAGATCGTCTCTGTTCAGCTCAGCAGTAACACTTATGCAACAATAAGCTAAGTAAAAAACATTATAGTAATAATTTCACCTCAAAAATAAAATTTCCTTCATTCTTTAGCTTTATAACAGTTTCTGAAACAGAAACATATAAAAAATGAAAAGCCTGCTTATGGGTTATTGTTTCCCCTTGTTACAAATGCTATGGACATACAAGGGGCCCACTCCTTTATACAGCACTACAGGAAACGAGGAAAGAAACAACCCTAACTCTCACAGTAACTGTATTTAATTATTGTTGCAATAGTTCTGAAAGCACGGGGGTAAAAAATGAGAATTCAAAGAAGGTAGAAAGAAAAACCTAGGCTATAATAACCGTCTAAGCATATGAGGCAAAAAACATAGACTTACTTGACTTGAGATGGTGATAGCTTTCACTTATAAAATCAGTACAAACCTGACTGATTTGTCAGGTTTGTCAAAGCTGCTCCCCTGTCCGGCCCTGCCATGAAAGGCAGCACCCCTTGTTTCAAGAAATTCAGGCTTAAACCTCTGGAGACTACAAGGAGAGATGGCATTTTAGAGACTGTTAAATGAGATAGAAGAATGATCCAAGAAAATGGAAGAGACTGGCTTCAGAGTGTACAGCTTGTGCTTTTGTAGAAAACAAGGACCAAATTTTCAGTAGGCATTCTGCAAAATTTCCTCTGCTCCAGCACCTCTGATGCAGCACCTCAGAGAAAAGCTCTGATGTCATTTGTACGTGGCAAAGTCCCTAGGTTCCTCCCTACCCATATCTCACTTAACAGATCTAGGACTTTTCTTTTTAATGGCAGATGGTTTTGTAGCAAACAATAATACAAAATCTTTTACATGCAGGCAAGAACTACTTTAGTATATTCTCTTGTCTGATATAGTGTTTGTAGCTCTTTCTCATTAGAAAGAGCTTCTAATCTCACTCGATATCCTACAATCTGCAATTTATATGAAATGTTATTAACACCCCATTTCTACATTTAATATTCTGACACACACTAGTACTCTTTTTCCTACCACTTCAGAAAATTTTAGCCGTCATATGATACAACCATTACAATCTTTGATTCTCTGAAACTTAGCAAGAAGACGATCAGATAACTAGATCAAAGAAGAGATAAATTAGTGTTATGGAGAAATATTTTAATTCTCTTGATGATCTTCTTATATATAAGAGGTTAACATTCTGCATTTTTTAACCTTTTCTTTCTGTACAAAAATTTTGCATTCAAAAATGCTGAAATAAAGTCTTCTGTTGACCTATAAATAAAATGAACGACGTCTTTTTTTTTACATTATCAATAAGGCTACACAAGAAAAAGGAGGGACTACTTTTCCAGAAACCCTTTGTGAATGCTTGTGTCTAGCCACAAGAAAGTGTTATAGACAGGTTTTTAAATATTAGTTCAAAAAAAAAAAAAAAAAAAAAAAAAAAAAAAAAACGAAATACAGAAAAGGAGGAACCTACAGCTGCTTTAAATCAAATTACTGTCAGTAGGAAAAAAAAATATATATATATATATGTGTGTGTGTATATATTTATATACACATATATCCTACCTTGGCTTTTGGTTATGACTTCTTATTCTTGACACTTTAATCACCTTCTAAGGGTCATATGGCTTTCCTCAGACCCTCTCGAGTTTCAGTACTACGGGCAAGACATCAGGCAAACCCCACCACAACACCTGTGTGCACCTAAGAGTAATTTGCAATGCTTTATTAAACACTTAGCTAGGAACTATAACAACAGATTTAATTAACCAATCAAATAGTGAACAGACAGCATGACACGAACAGACAGCCTTATGGATAGATGAAACAGAGTGGCTGAGAGAGGAATCCAGCATACAGCAAGAATAGTGAGTACTCCAGAATATATAGTATGGTTGTTAGGTACCTTTTGGTTATAAATATCCAAAATTTCAAATGCGCCAGCGGTGAATTCTCTGCTTTAACTACTTTAACTGAGTAACTATGACAAATGTATACTTTATACAATTAAAAGCTGTACAGAAATAGCAGACAAATGTTTCCTTTCTTTTTAATAAACAGGGACTGTATAATATGCATGCAACACAAGGGAAATAGCAAAGGAGAAAATGTTACGTGACAGCTTTAGGCACCAAGAAGCACTTCCCTATCACACTTGCAGCTTGCCTTTTTTTTTCTATTGTGAATTGACAATGTGATCAAAAAGCAATGTGAAGTTATTTTTCCTTTCCAGTCCAAAAGTATTTGTAAGTGCTTTTGATCAAAGTCCCGATGGTAAGGGATGCAAAGGGAAGGTAAGCTCCCATTGATATATTTAGATGTTACTGGTCAAGGCAGATACGCTAATAGGCACGTTGTCTGTTGTGAATAAAGGATGGTCACACACTAGGAATTTCCACTTTCAACTTTCTGGTGCTGAAAGGTAGGAGCTACTTGGCCCATGTATATCTCTATTCATAATCTAACATCCTGAATCTGCTTTTATTTCAATTCTATGATTTTTAGCATCTACAATACCCAAACTTGGAAAAAAAAAGAAAAAAAAAAAAAGAAAAAACAGAATTGTGGCCTTCAAGCCTTTCTGACTGCTCATTTCCACTTTTGGCATATCTGCTGCTAAACTGAGTCAGAAATTAAATCTTCTCTCAGGCATAATACTTCCTTTGGGATCTGACAAGTTACATCACCCTCCTGCTACAATTTTCCTTATCTGCTAAATTAAGATAATGCCACTTATAATGCTTAATGTTGTAAAAATATTAATACATGCAAAATCATTTGTACAGGAAGACAAGCACTGCAAGAGCTATGAATTAATACTGTGGCCTTCTCCTGCGATTTTAGTTATGGAAGAGTGACACCTAGAACATACAAAGGCAGGGCCAGAACCTCAGTGCAGCTGGCAATGTGTGCATGCAAAAGCACGATGACGGTCTCTGCGTACACACAGCTTACTCTAGACTGAGCTAACAAAGCAGTGAAAATATTTTCATGTTACATAGGTTCTCCCAAAATCTGACCATGCACCAATCTTTAGAAAGGCTACAACCAATCATAGCCTCTTGCAAAAAATTAAAGGCCTCCACATTCACATAAAAACGGTCAGAGGTTCATTAAACTGCATTAACATGTTACACTAAACAGTTTGGTTGTTTGTATAAAAGTACAGCCCATACTTGATTTTTTTCATGCTCCTCCTCTCTTATTTGATATTTCTGTATTATCCCTTAATTATACAGAGGATGAATAAAAGTTACAGTGGACCAAATTATTAACAGAGGTAACAGAAACTAGTTACTACATACTTCCTAGTTACAAGTAATGGTTAATAGTTATTAACAAAGATATTCCTGAAGTTCATCAAGTTGTAGCTGTTATTCAAGGTTTTAAAATACTGAAATGGAAGATTTTAAGAAGCACAGGTAACAGTCAAGCACAGGATTCCCATTAATTTTCATTGCTCAGTAAAACAAAGGAAGGAAAAAACACATCAGGCTCAGCACCAAATTAATTGGTCTTATCCCATTAAAACAAACAGACAAACAAAAACAATCTATAAAAGGGTCTACTGTGGAGATTTGAGCTTCTAAGTCTGGAAAGCAAGCTTTCAATGTTAAGAAAAAGCCTTCACTAGCACACATTCGCATCTGTGTCACTGACATCTGTGCTATAAAATCTGCTGTGAACAAGCTACGTTTCTGTTCTGTACAAGCCTAATATCTTCTTGCCTTCTATGGAGACAGAATTCCCAGTGACAACATCAGAGACGGGAAAAAAACCTGCAGGATTTAATCCTACATTTCAGTAGTTTGTTAGGGCTGCTTACCAGGAAGTACTCTCGAACATGTCCAATCACTCCACCCATCCAGATACACCAAAGTGTATTACCAGTTTCATATTGACTGTAAGGTCAGCACAAAAGCTCATGAATAAAGAGCGATTCTAGTGACAAGCTGCAGCAGCTCAACCTGACTGTAAGACAATGACAAGTCAACTACCACGTGCACTTAGCGCAACGACCTTGAGTCTTCAGTGTGAGCACGCAAAGAGGTACATGACAATGTTAACAACTGGTCAGAGACCAGCGCCATCTGAATAAGCAAGCTGTCACGAAGAGATCAAAAAAGTCATCCATACCTTTCTTTCTTTGCTGACTTCTAAAGATCCTGTAGGGGAACCGTAAGTGCAATGAAATAAATTCTGATTTCATTTACACGCTGATGGCAAATCCAGTGAAGTCAGTGATGTTACTTTGTGTTTACACCCAGGTCAGTGGGATCAGAATCAAACTCAATGTGATTAAAATCAACAGAGCACATCGTCTGCTGATATCACTGCCCCAAAAACCACAATAAGCTTCAGGCATGCTATTTGCCAGATTACACGATTTCGCTATCAGGTTGACAAGTTTGAAGAGCAACTGTGAACTGTGGAGGATTTAATTTTCACAGGCAAAGGTTCCTTTCTTTCAATTAAAAGAACAAGACGGTATCATTTTTTCCAAGTTAAAAACTAAGTTTGCTTCTTTTCTTGTAAAATGCTAGTCAGAAACTAGCATTGTGCCTTGTATTTACTGCAAGAATTGTTTTTATCTGTGGCTGGAATGTGAAGAACATGGAACTGTGATTTTGCTTAAAACTGACAAACAATGCTATCATGCCACACCACCAAAGGTTGTAGCTCTGTTTGTACTGTCATTACAGTTGAGGTAACACTGTAAAGTGTAGTGTAGTAATAGGACAAGGAGTAATGACTTTAAACTAAAATAGGGGAGATTTAGATCAGACATTAGGAAGAAGTTCTTCACTCAGAGGGTGGTGAGGCACTGGCACAGGCTGCCCAGAGAAGCTGTGGATGCCCCATCCCTGGAGGTGTTCAAGGCCGGGCTGGATGGGGCTTTGGGCAGCCTGGGCTGGTGGGAGGTGTCCCTGCCCAAGGCAGGGGATTGGCACTGGGTGGGCTTTAAGGTCCCTTCCAACCCAAACCATTCTATGATAACGTGATTCTGCAAACTGCAGAAGAAGCGGCTGTGATTTTACATCGTTCCCAGTGACAATACGCTGTGAAAACACATTTGTCCTTCTAAATTCAGAGGGAAGCTTGTCTCAGTAAAGACTAATTGGACTGCAATAATCCCGACTTCAAAAACTTCTGGACATAAACCGATGTGTTAAGGTATGAACATGGTACTTCCAGATATCCCAAAAAGACCTTTCAGGTCTCTATCACCCACACAGAGATAATGACCAATTCACTCACATATGAGCCAAACATTAGAGGCTGTTTTAATATTCACTTTGTTAGCTGACTACAATAAAATTACTGGTTCAAACTGTCAGGATGCAAAGCCATTTCTGCCTTTGCCCTTCACTTCCTTTGAACTCAACCATTACTACAGCTTTGTTTTCCTTAATACAACCAACGCCTGAATTTGGTTTGTATTTTTAATCTTTTCATACTTTGACTGCAATTTTCTATCTGAAATCTTCTTAAACCCCTTCTCTTTGCATTTCAGAGTACCAGGATGCTTGCATAATTATTCTGAGTTAGTAGATACCAAACTTCGCAGCCTTCTAGCTGGAAATAATATCTGTGAATATACACTTTATTACTCACAGCTACTGGTTCGTAAAATTCAGCAAAACAGAGGTCAAGTTAGTAGCTTTTAACAAAACAGAGTCCAGAAGCATAAACAAAAAAGGGACTTAATTTTTCACAGAGACTTAATTTTTCATAGCTCTTATTCAAGATACCTAGCTGCCATTCTGCACTCACATTGTTCTCCTCCACGTTCTGCAGGAATACAAGGTGATTATTCACACTCACCAAGTGCCAAGGCAGCCTGCGATGCTTGAAAATCAGAATTGAAAGTCTTGTCAGCTAAAGGAATTTATTCTGACTCGACCAAAACTGCATCAGCCAGTAAGACCAAATTAAGTAGCCACTATCAATACATTTGAAAAACTCGGAGAAGTATATCAGATATACGGATAAGCCCAAGGGACTGGGAAACAACTAATGAAATACATGGGGAAATCTCAATGTTTGGCAGCTAAGAACAAGAATATAACAGAACAAGAATATAACAGTTCAGACAAGCAAGATTTAATTAATCGTTGCCTGCTGAGTTGTGTTTAAAATTCCTTCCTGTACTCAGTAACTAGAATACCCAACCTGAAGCTGTGACTGAAAAATGCCTCCGTATTAATACACATATCTCAAGCAATTCTGCTTGACATTGTAACACTCATATAATCTGCTAGGCAGTTATCAGCACACAAGCATGCAAAAAGGACATGCCATTAAATAATATTTTGTTTCTACCGGCAAAGTAATGGAAGTCTTTAAATAAGGCAATCTATGTTAAGTTGTTACAGTATACAGTAACAATCAGTGTTGCAGACAGTTACAGAAAACCTAGCAATTGACACTTCTGGTGTATATGAATAAAACATGATTTTTAGACAAAAAAATCCCAGGGTATCCATCAGATACACACTTACAAATTGTACAAATATGCATCTAAATATATATAATTGCACATCCAGTGTAAGTGCTGTTACATTTCAATTACATGTTGTTCTCACTTTTTTTTATTATTTTTTTAAGATTCTTAAAAAAGATGTGCTTTACATCTGTCGTACTGCATAACTATTTGACTGTTCAAGGATTACATTAGAGGGAGGGAAATCAGAAGCTTCCACAAACCATTGCTGCAGTTTATTAGGTCCAGTTCTAACATCCAATGGAGCTGGGCACAACACTACCTGTTGATAACGTTAGATTCCTTTTAACATTTATTAGCAAGAAAACAAAAAGTTTCTCACCTATCTTCTCCTATAATTATTTTTGAAACAATTCTTCAGCTTTTTCCACAGCAAGTCAACACAGCTCTGTAACTTGAAATCTCCTCAGATGGGATCACAACCTCACGGTTCTTGTCTAGGTAGACTTTCATTTGACGTACACTGCAATGTAAGAGACAAATCCCTAAGTTCAAAGCACTGGAAACTACTTTGCCTAAGATAAACAAATGCAAAGAAAGACTTTTATTCAAGAAATATGGCTGACTGTATGCACACACACAACCTTACTAGAACATACACCAAACAATCTTTATCACCTATTTCAACTTATTATTTGATGCATATTCTTATGTTGCTATACATTAAAAATATCTAAATTACTTATATTTTTGTTCAAATATTTCACAACTTAAGCCTAACATATTACAAGATTCTTTGGGAGACTTAAATACTATTAAAATACTATCTTCAATTTAAAGTGCAAAGTACCTGGAAAATTAAGGTCACATCGTGTTAGAAAACCTAATGGAGTATGGATTTCTGCTTGAAGTACTTCAACCAGAAACCTCAGTAATCTTAAATCTGTCTCTCCTAGACATAATAAGTTTTAAAGGTTTGAATGAGTTTCAGAGTATGTTTTGTATACCCTGTAATTTGTGAATAGTGGGCAAAGAAGTATTAAGATCAGAACACTAAGCTGTCAATAGAGAAGACAAATCTTTCATAAAAAAGGCACTCTCATAGGACTTCAGAAACAGCTCAGTAAAATCTTTTTGAACCAGTAAATAAGACAGTATTTACTTGCACTACATTACTGTTTAAATACACATAAACACCCCAGTAATAGTAAGTTAAGGGGTTATACATCAAAGGGCATGGCATGCTTAAAAGATGTGCAGAACCATACTCCAAAAAACCTGCATCTGAATGGTTATCACAAGAGTATTTACCTATGTCCTTGGCTAATCCTAGATTATTTCCCAATGGTACACAAACCAGTGAAAGTATAAGAGAACAGACTAAAACATGTTCAGACTAGGACTTTTTAACATGCTGCAGTAGAGTTGTTTAAACATCTGACCTTTTAGGGTCACCAGCAGCCAAGAAACCCATGACACTACTGTTCAGCCCTAAGGGGAGACCAGAGGGGAGACCTCATCCCCGCTCGGCATTTCAGGGCACGCAGGGAAGAGCTGGCACTATACTGACCCCACAGCCTGCCCAGCAGCCCACGGTGGCAACGGGTGGGAATTCTGCTACCTCTCCATCTCTGAAATAAAGGAGCTCTATTCCCACCACTTGCCTAGCAGCAAAACCAGTCCTCTATAAAATAACCTGAGAGGCCGGCCATGAGTAAAACAATTGCAAGCTATGAATTGCTCAACTGCAGAACAGAACTCCCATCCGCATTACTCCAGATGTCCATACTAAAGAAAACAAACAAAAATTAGCCTTCACCTAACTTGACGTAAAGTTAGCCATGGAAAAGAAACCTGCTTAGGTATTTATACAGGTTTTGTTATCAGTTCTCCTGGAACCTACACGTACAGACCAATCAGCAAGAAAGACTCCAAAGCCAAAGGCACATGATGTTGCTCATAGATACTGCAAAGCAGCAGAAAGACCCAAGTACTACATTTGTTTTACATGAAGCTGGGACAGATGAAAGCAGCTTCTAACAATGGCACTTTTGTATGTGTATAGTGTTTTTTTTCCTGATTTTTTGACCCTTGCTTTACAGGCTCTTCAAGCTTAGCAACCTGGTTTCCAACAGACACCGGTGTACACGATATATTTTAAATGGAATACAGTCTTAGGCACAAAATCTCTAAGAAAAAAAAAAATCTATGAAGAATCTAAAAAAAACAAAATATGTTAAACTCAGTTTTGAAGGAATGCTACCAGTAAGACCTCCTTTGAATACTCTAAGATGAAGACCAGAATCAAAACACTACTGTCTCTTTCCAGGAAACATCTAGCCTACTCCATGGAGTAACAGGATTGCAGTCACAAGACCCCTCTTAATCACGTGCTGTGTTCATACAGAACTTTTTTCCTTTGTGCACTGAGATTATAAACACATCAAGCTAGGGCCCTATTATCTATTTGGCACAAGTCTATTACTCTATGGCCCAGTGGAAATGTAGAGTACTTTATTTATTTCACTCTCCATTGACTAAGTCAAAAAGAATTGTATATCATATTACTGGATATCTTTCTCTCTGAAATTTGGGCAGCAGAAAACCACAAGAAAAACAGCTATGACAATAAAAACACATTTACTACTTAGATTACTAAGGCCACAGAGCCAGGGGCCAAGCTGAGGGATAAGCACTCTCTCCTGCATACCATGATGTCCCCATTCTTTGGGGGACAGGGATGATTAAAAACCCTGGCACGATGGTCTGTAGACCCCTGGTTTTCCTCTGACCACTGTAAGAAATCCATGATGTGCAGCTAGGACAGGTAAATACACGTAACACATTAATCTGGATATGTAATGAGAAGAATTCCAGCACAGAAAGCCAAATGCATCATCATTCTGTCTTCAGGCAAAAAATAGCTACAAAACCATGAATTTTGGCTGCCCATTCAGCTTAGGACATCTGAATTAAAATTGTGCTTCAGCACTTTAAGAACAATACATTGAACCTGATGCCAAAATGATGTGGTGATTAGTACCGTGAATGAAAATACATTTAAAGATTTTTAGCAGTCATTTAACATTTAAGACCAAATGGCCTAACTGCAGTTGCTTAGATACTTCATGAAAAACTGCAGAACATAAACCCCCCAAATAATTGTAAATGTGTAAGAAGATATAAGCTAAAATTCTAGCAACAAGTTACAAATGCACATTATCTATCTGGCAAACTAGTTCTTTCGAACTGTGCCTACTGCATCATTTATTTCACCCACAAGGTGGCATTTTTATTCTACATTTTCTTTAATAGCCTAGATGGGACTGGCCTATCTCTTATAAAAAATACTCAGATGAAAACTGGAGACCACTGTACAAAAGCATGTCAGAATTCATATTCTTAGATCATCAATATTTCTCCCGTAAAATCAAGCATTTACTGATTTTACCTTTTAGATACAAATCAATTTACAAGTCATGGTATCTAGTTCCACATTCTTCCAACTCCACTTATCTACTAAATATAAAAGACAAATTGCTTTAGACATGATTGCAGAAAATCACTTGGTATTCTATGTGCTAATGCTCAGTATTCTCAGTACCAACATTTTAACAAAATGAAATCTCTGAACATGTATATGGCCACCTTAACCTGCAAAGCCAGCGTTGTACCTGTCTCACGCTTATCAAAACCGCTGTCATCCAATACTTATGCCCTAAAGATTTGAATTTTAAAAGTTATATAAATTTTACCACTTTTTTTCTTTACCTCAATAATTATAGATTTTACTGTGTCTGTAAATAATGCACAGAAAGCAGGCAGCACTAATTAAAAATTAATTGTAAATTACACAAGAATTTCTTAGATGACAATAAGACACATTCTAAAGCAAAGTCACAAATGAAGTCATTATAATAAAGAGGAAAAAGATGAGCAACCAAACATGCCTTTCTCTCACGAACTAATGTCGGCTTTGCTGTCGTTTCAATTTTACTTTATAAACGCATGCCTTAATTCTATACCTTGTTACCTTGCCTGGGAAGATACCAATTTTTCTTTTACATTAAATAAAAAGAAACTTAAAAGGAACACCCACTGCTGTGTGCACACAAACACATGCTAACTACTTTATGCAAAAAAAGTTCAAAATATCAACCGTAATTCCCAAGATTGGCTCTCTGGAGGGGGGAAAAGTCTACAGAAAACCACTCTGAGGATCTTCCAGAGTATAATATATCACACTCTTGCATTTTACTTAGATCTTTCTTGAAAATGAAAACTCAGTGGTACTAAATTAAATGTCATTCATTTTTATACTGTCATCGACATGCAATTCGAACAGTCATAAAACTAGAAACCTATCAGGATTTAAGAATACAAACAGAGGAATATGAATTATATGCACTGTTGTAAAATTGTATTTACTGAATAGAAATGTCAAGAGTAAAAATTAATTCTTACAGTTACTTTACTTTGCCCAGCCAACACACCTTTCTATATTCGTTTTTAAAGACCGCCTACCAACCTTTAAATTTAATGCACTAGTTCCAAACTTCTTCAACCTGAAGACCCCTAAAAGTTTTCTGATAATGACAGAAGACATTTCAGAAATTTCACAGACTCCTATATAAAGAATACGAAATTGTTTTCTCAGTTAAAAACAAGCATAATTGAGAGAAAGGAAGGAAGGGAAAATGCACGCTCTTACATAAATAAATTTCTTAGCCACCGACCTGTGGCACTCAAACAGCCTCCAATAAACTACAAGCCCCTGGTTTATTAAGGTTTGTTCTACATTAATTTCCTACCTTTGGCAGCAGAAAAGCAGCAAACAACAACAAACTGAAATCCATTTGGTTGGTCTTTCTGTACAGAAGGATTAAAGAAACACCAGCAGCCCTGTGACCTCAGTCTAAGTCTGATGAAAATTTATCCAGAAAAAATTAACACCTGCCAAACTTATAAGCTGGACTAGCATGAGAACAGAGAAGAAAGAAGGTGGTTTGGTTTTTGTTTGGTTTTATTATTATGTATGCAATTGCCCTACTGCGTCCATTTCTTTGAAAAAAGCACCTCTATCGATTTTTATTTTATGTTATTTTTACTATGCACATGAGTTACATCCCCAAAGTATTCTGAAGATGCACTTGAAAACTTTTTACTACTATGAAGGAAGCTGAGACTTGCAATGTGAAATCTAGCTCTTGAAGACTTTGGAAAGATGAGTAATGATGTCCGCTGAAAGAAAACACTTTTTGCCACTGAGATGAACAAAAATATATATAATAAGGAATCAGTCAGGACAATTATGTGGTTTCAAAAATAAACTATGGGAACATTCTTAATACATGTTAAACGTATGTTAAATAGGAGATATTTCTAGCAAAATATTATTGACATTAAACATGAGGAAAGATAATAGTCCCATCACCTCTTCGCTGGAGCTTATACCTAGGACTATCTGATCAAACATAAAGTTCAGTTTCATGCAGTGGCATGCAACCATACAAAGGATGCTTA